CCACGGAGAGCGAGCCACGGAGGGCGGTGCCCTCCCGGGAGGGCAGGGTGAGCGGCTCGGCGGAGGCGGCCTCGCCCGCCGGGAGGAGGACGTCCTCCTTGCGGAAGACGTGGTAGGAGGCCCAGTTGTGCACCAGCTCGTCCCTGACCATGGCGACGCAGTCCTCCTGGTACTGCGCCACCTCGGCGGGCCGCTTGTCCGCCTTCTCGGGGCAGCGGGGCGAGTAGCGGCGCAGGAGAATGGGCCGCACCGACTTGCCGTCACTGCCCCGCTCCACGTGGCAGTCGCTGTGGGTGAAGGAGAAGCTGTGGGGGGCGTTGAGGAAGTAGTGGTCAGTAATCAATCAATCAATCAATACTAGACACAGTTTTCCTTAACTTACTCATTGCTGGAGAAGTGGACGTCATTGCGTCTGATCTGCGGGTCGAGCGGCTTGAGGACGAAGCGACGGTTGCCGGTCCGCCAGCAGAGCGGCCCGTCCGCCTCTACCAGCGATGGGGCGTGGTAGATGAAGGCGAGGCGAAAGACGTTCCCGCGGCCGTCCGGGCCCTTCTCCTGCGGCAGTGCGTGCTGGAGGCAGTAGTTGATGTACTTCTTCGGCGACAGCTTGTACCACACCAGTTTGTGCAGGCGGTTGCACGGCAGGACCGACCAGTGGGCGGCGGGGGAGGGCTGGTCCGGGTCGGGCGCCGCCTCCTGGTCGGCGTAGGCGTTGTAGCAGCACAGGCAGACGGCCGCCCCCTCCTGCTCCTTCCAGAAGGCCTGCAGAAGGTCGTCGACGAGGTCGATGATCAGCTGGCGGAGGTGCGCCAGGTCGGCGGAGAGGGCGGAGTTCTCACCGCCACCGCTGGCCTCCGCCTCAGCGTCGCTGAGCTTTCCGTAGAGGAAGAGCAGGTTGTGGGAGATGGTCTGCAGGTCGGCGTTCATCTCCTCGAAGAGGCGGTACTCCGCCCGCCGCGCCTTCGCCTCGATGGCCCTCAGGTCGAGGCGGTCCTTCATCAGCCGGTCGCGGTCCAGGCGGTTGTAGAGCGCCTGGAGGCTCCACAGCGGCGACTGGCGCAGATCGGTGATGGGCGTCGCCGCTGCCGCCCCCGCCGCCGCCGTCTCCTTCTCCTTCTCCTGCTGTCCCACCACGTACTGCTCGGTGAAGCGGAGGAAGAAGACGTGGAAGAAGCGGCCGTGGCCGAGCCGCCCGAAGAAGGTCGGGTCGGTGCGCTCGCTGAGCAGGCCCTCGATGAACTCCGCCTCGCGCGCCTGACAGAACTTGCAGAGGGCGTGGCCGTGGTCGGCCGCCTCCTCGATCTCGTAGCTGGGAATGAGGGTGGCCGACTCGGCGCTGATGATCGGCTCGAAGAGCTCAGGGACGCAGGGGTCGAGGCGGTGGGCCACCCGGTGACAGCGGCTGCAGCGGAGGACGGAGGAGGCGGCAGTGACCGGGCCCTGGTTGGGCGCCCATCGGTTGCACGACCAGCAGATCTGGTGGTAGCCCTCCTCGGGCGGCGGCCTGGTCAGGTCGCGGTGCAGTGCCACGTTGCGGATTGTGGTGCGGATGACCGTCTTGATGAAGGCCACCAGTGCCTTCAGTCGCGGCTCCAGCCGGTACCGCTTCCCGTCGCCCCTCCTCCTCTCCTCCTCCTCCTCCTTGTCGGCCTTCTTCTTCTTCTTCTTCGCCCTCTTCTTGCCCTTCTTGCTCCCCACGGCCTCTTCCTCCCCCGGCTCCACCTTCTCCTCCTCGAGGATCTTTCTGATGTCGTAGTGGTGGAGGGCGCCGATCAGGGGGCTCACCTCCGCGTAGGGGGCGTGCACTGGAAAGTTGTACAGTCGGGACAGATTTCGGAGGTTCGTCTGCGGTGTGGGCACTGCATCGCTGATGTCCCAGTCACTTTGCTCCTCCTCCTCCTCCTCCTCCTCCGCTTCGTCCTGTCGGTCCTCGTCCATCTGGTCCTGGTGGTCTTCGCCGTGCTCCTCCTCTTGTGGTTCGTTTTGAGGGTCTTCCCGCTTTTTTTCCTCGTTGTCCTCGCTGTCTTCCTCCCTTTCTCTCTTTTGACTTCCGCTTCCACCCGGTCGGTTGGCCCATTGGCTCAACATATCAGCTGAGAAGGTAATTAGGGATGAGAGGTAAATGATTGTTGTTATGGCAGTGCGTGATTGATGATGATGATAACAAGGGGTGAACTCACCGAGTATTTGATTAGCAGCTGTGTCAGGTGGGTGGACAGGTGGTGGTGGGCACGTGCAGTCTTCTGATTGGGAAATGGGCAAGTGGGGAATGATATGGAGGACGCATGCAGTGGCACACACACACACACACACACACTTGCACTGGTCTGTCTTGAGGCACCGCTGTCTGTCCACCGAGAAGACTTCACTTCACTGCTGATCTGGCTCACTCAGCTGCCTCAGTGCCAGTCACTGAATTGAGTGAGCGAGTGAGCGGACGTAATGCACACACTGAGCGAGAGCTCAGTGCTCATCGACAGAGCAATGGCCACCAGCAGCAGCAGCACACAAAGAGAGTGAGTGAGCTTGTAGGCAAAGAGTATATAGCACAGGAAGAGGCCAAGGCAGCCAGTCCACACGGGTTGTCCAAAGAGTTAGTGCCACTTCGAAATGGGCAGCAGTGATCGAGTTTATTCGAAATAGAAACATGAACAGCAACATTCTTCAACGACGTCCTCCACGTCCTCCCCGTCCTCCACGACCACCGCCTCGCTTTCCACCGAATGAGGCCACCCCCTTCCTCTGGCCGCCATGAGAGTGGCCACCCATTCTCTTGGGCCCTCCTCTTCCCCTTCCACCACCTGCTCCTCCTCGTCTGGCGGTCAGTTTCCTCGGCCCAGTCCCTCCTCCTCCCTCTTCCTCCTGCTGCTCCTCGTCGTCGTCATCGTCTCGTTTCCTCTTTCCACCACCACCTCCACCCGCAGCATCGGCCATCTCCGTCTTGGCGACCCTCTGCGCCTGGAGGACGCGCTCGTTGAGGAGCATCACCTCGCTGTCGACCGTCTCGTAGAGGGGCAGCTTCTTGCCGATGAGGTGCTCAATGCGCTGGTACAGCTCCACGTCGTACTGCGAGACGAGGGTCATCGCCTTTCCGTGCCGGCCGGCGCGAGCCGTCCGTCCCACCCGGTGGATGTACGCCTTCGAGTGCGTGGGAATGTCGTAGTTCACCACAATGTCCACGTGGGGAATGTCCAGGCCGCGAGAGGCGACGTCGGTGGCCAGCAGAATGGAGCGCGCCTTCGTCTTGAACTTGTTCAGTGAGCCCAGTCTGCGAGGAAAGAAAGAAAGAACGGGTTTTTAGGACAAAACAAAAGTCCCAGCGTTCCAAATGGCCACTTACCGCTTCGCCTGGCTCATCTGCCCGTGGAGGGGAATGGCGGTGAAGCCGAGGTTGCGCAGCATGAGGGCGATGCGCTGCGTGTTGGCGCACGTATTGCAGAAGATGATGAAGCTGTTGCCCTGTGCCTGGTTCAGCAGGTGCACCAGATAGAGGTCCTTGTGCTTGGCGGGCACAAAGAGGTAGTACTGCTGCAGGTTGTCCACCGTCTGGTACTTCGAGCTCACCTCGACGCGCACCGGGTCGCGCAGGCTGGCCCGCTGCAGCTTCGCCACCTTCGAGGTCATGGTGGCGCTGAAGAGCAGCGTCCGGCGGCCCTCGCGCGGAATCACCTTGAGGATGGTGTCCAGCTCCTGTTCAAAGTCGAGGTTGAGGATGCGGTCCGCCTCGTCCAGCACCAGGTACTTCAGGCTCTTCAGGCTGAAGCCCTTGGTGTTCTCGAGGTGGTCGACGAGGCGGCCGGGCGTGGCGATGATGATGTGCGGCGACTTGCCGAGGGCCATCGCCTGCGTCGTCATGTCCATGCCGCCGACGATGGTGGCGGTGGTCACGCCGAAGGCCGCTCCCATCGCCTTCACCTGCTCGTTAATCTGGAAGGCCAGCTCGCGGGTGGGCGTGAGGATGAGGGCGTAGAGGCGTTGCGGCGCCTCGAGCAGCGTCTGCAGAATCGGTATCACAAAGGCGCCCGTCTTGCCGGAGCCCGTCTCGGCGAGGCCGATCACGTCCCGGCCCGCCAGCGCCACCGGGATCGCCTCCACCTGGATCTTCGAAGGGCGCGTCCACTTGAGGGCTTCGGCCGCCTCGCAGAGCGCCTCCGAGACGCCCAGCTCCTTGAAGGTGGTCGTCTCCGACTTGAGCTGGTCGCGGGTCTCGTCATTTAGAAGGCCGTCACGCTCTAGGGGATCATTTTCAGCGACGGTGGTGGTGGTGGTGGTGGGGGTGTCTGCCTGATCAGCCTGATCAGTAGTCATCTTCAGCGAGGTGTTCTGGTAGGTTCTGGTTGCTAGGAGTGGTCAACGCTTGATGCAAAGTACTTGGGAGTTCTTCTTCTTCTTCGGGAGCACGTTGAGGTGGACACTTTGAAAACACACAAGTCTCGCCAAAACAGAAAACACGTGAGAGTTGCCGATAGTCGATGATCGATAGTCGATGGTTGCTGCTGTCCACTCGCCCGTCACTTGTTTTGGTCTGCCTTGAATTTCTTTGCCATTTTGAAAGACTGAGTTTCCCGCTTTCTTTTTGGAGTTTACTCTTCTGAAGATTACCTACCTCCCCTTTTGTGGCCATGTCAGGCCTCGTCTCCTACGATGACAGCGATGGCAGCGGCTCGGACGGCGGCGAGGATGGCTCCCAGAGCAGCGTGCTGCCACCGATTGACGCCATGCAGTTCGCCTCGAAGAACAACCTGGCCGCCCTGGACGCGGCACCGCTCGTCGACGGAACTATGGTCAGATCATCAGCAGGCGGAGGCATCGGCGACCACGGCTCGCGGATCATCGACCTGAACAAGACGAAGGAGCTGAGCTACAATCCGCGCTACGAGGACCTGTACGCGCCGGTCGTCGGTCCGGTGAATCCGGCTCGAGCGGAGCAGTCCGGCAAGAAGAACTTTCTGACGGGCAATCTCGAGCCGGCCTTCGTCTCGGAGGCCACCTTTGAGCTGGAGCGCAAGAACTTTCAGTCCTACGGGTCGGCCTCCAATCCCAGCGATGGATCGCGCGTCGGCTCGCTGGTCACCAAGCCCACATCATCAACATCATCAGCGACATCATCATCAACAACAGCAGCCCTGAACGACATTCCCGATCCCGAGTCCGATTCGGGCGCAAAGAAGAGCAACAGCAAGCGAAAGCGAGCCAAGAACATGGACTCGGGCGACGTGGACGGCTACACCGGGCCGTGGGCCGAGTTTGAGGATGAGATCAAGGCAAGTGCCACTTTTCTTATTTGTTCCATTTTTACCAATTCCATTCTTCCTTTCTTCATTAGGTGGCAAAGCCAACGGAGGACGAGGCCACCGAGCTGGCGGAGATTCTCGCCAAGCGACGCAGCAATAACCTCCGCCGCCGAGGCGGCCCCTCCGGCGCCCAGGTGGAGGAGGAGTTCAAGGAGAGGGCGGTGCTGCACATCAAGGACCCGTACGACTACCAGGGCCGGTCGTTCCTCCACCCGCCGCACGACGTGGACGTGCCGCTGCACCGGGCGGACCACTCGCCCAGCCGGTGCTTCCTCCCCAAGCGACTGCTGCACACCTGGACCGGCCACTCGAAGTCGCTCACCGCCATCCGCCTCTTCCCCGTCACCGGCCACCTGCTGCTCAGCTGCTCGATGGACGCGAAGATCAAGCTGTGGGAGGTGTACCACGAACGGCGCTGCGTGATGACCTACCACGGCCACAAGCAGGCGATCAGGGACATCTGCTTCAACCGCCACGGAGATCGCTTCGTCAGCGCCGGCTACGACCGCTTCCTCAAGCTGTGGGACACGGAGACGGGGCAGTGCGTGCGGAAGTTCACCAACCGCAAGATCGCCTACTGCGTCAAGTTCAATGTCGCCGATGATGCGCACTCGCACTACTTTCTCACCGGTAAGTCTTCTATTTCTTTTGGTTGCATTTCACTACTAACACTTCAACTCCCCTTCCCCTCCAGGCATGTCCGACAAGAAGATCCTCTGCTGGGACACGCGGACGGGCAACATCTGCCAGGAGTACGACCGCCACCTGGGCGCCGTCAACACGGTGACGCTGGTGGACGGCGGGCGGAAGTTTGTGTCGACGTCGGACGACAAGTCGCTCCGTGTCTGGGACTGGGACATTCCCGTCGATGTGAAGTACATCGCCGACCCGTCGATGCACGCCATCCCGGCGGTGGGCGCCGCGCCGAACGGCAAGTGGCTCGCCTGCCAGTCGATGGACAACAAAATTCAGGCCTTCGCCTGCATGAACCGCTTCAAGCTCAACCAGAAGAAGGTCTTCACGGGGCACATGGTGGCGGGGTACGCCTGTCAGCCGGCCTTCTCCCCCGACATGGCCTACCTCATCTCCGGGGACGCCGACGGGAAGCTCTTCATCTGGGACTGGAAGACGACCAAGCTGCTGACCAGCCTGCAGGCGCATGAGAACGTCTGCATCAGCGCACTGTGGCACCCGCACGAGACCAGCAAGGTGATCACCGCCGGCTGGGACAACGTCATCAAGCTCTGGGACTGAGGAAGGAGAGAGAGATGCGGATTAAGGAAACGGATCATCAGATTATTATTATCATTAAATGTGGCTTAATGGGTCATTGGTGACAACAGTGGGTGGAATGGATAGTAGTAGTAGTTAAAGAGAAGAGGGGTGGGGTGGTGACAGTGGTGGTACCATTCAGTAGAGATTGAGCGCAGTGAGGCGAATGCTCTCCTTGGCGACGGTGGCCGCATTGCGCTTGCTGCTTCGAAGGGGCGGTCTGTCCGAAGGTGCGTCATCTGTTGGGACTTTCTTGGGGACGGGCTTTGGTCGGCGGACGTACAGGTCACGGGGAATGATGCGCTTTCGCTTCTTGCGCTTCTTAGGCTGTTGGACAGTGGCGGAGGCGGCAGAGGCAGAGGCAGCAGCAGCCACGGTTGCAGTCTTCCTCTGCTTGGGGTTGTTGTTGGCCACTGTGGTGACCACCTTCCCGGTGGTGACCAGCGACCGGGTGAGTCGTCGCTTCGGGTCGATGTCGGCGAGGGCGACCAGCGAGACCGAGGGAAGGAGGTGGTCCGGTGGGGGCGGGGGCAGGGACTGATTCGGATGATCCTCATGATGCTCTTCATCCTCGTCGTTACCCTCGCCACCCTCCTCGTCGTTGTTGTCACCCTCGTCCTCATCCTCCGTCATGAGGTCCTCCGGGTCGGGCGGGAATCGGGGCAGGATCTCGTAGCTGTCATCATCGGTCATCAGATCGTCCGGATCGTAGTCAGCAGCAACAGCAGCAGCTGCAGCAGGGGACTGTCTGCCTTCTTCAGTACTGACCTTCTTTGCTGTCTTCGCTTCTTCTTCTTCTTTCTCCCCCTCCCCCTCCTCCTCGCTTTCCTCCATCTCCAAATTCCCGTCTTCAGGCACGTCCGAGAGCAGAAAGTCATCATCGTCGTCGTCATCATCGCTGACCTCCTCATTGTCGGAGCTGTGCTCGCTGCTCAGCGAGATGCTCTCCTCTTCAGAGCTGTCCGATTGATCTTCCTCCTCCTCCTCCTCTAGCTCATCCTGCGGGAGGCCACTGCCGCCGCCCTTGAAGAAGTCTCGCATCGCCTGCAGCTCCTCGACGTCCTTCTCCTGCAGGTAGGCGGTCACCTCGTCGGAGGGCGTCTCGTCGAAGAAGGCGACCGTGCCGTCGGTGGAGAGACTGGCCGCCGCCATCTGCTTGCCCAGGTCGAACTTCGAAGGCGTCGGATCGGCGGTCGTCGGTCGGTTGTAGAGGAAAACCAACGACGGCTCGTCGTCCTTGGATCCAGTCTGATCGAGGAGGAGAACAAAAGTAAAACCGGTTAACAACTTCCCCGAGCTTACCTCGTGAGATGACGATGAGCTTCCTTCGCTGTGCTCCCCCTCCTCTCGCAGCCGTCCAGCCCTGCCCAGTCGCCTGCCAAAGACCGGGCCGTCGAAGAAGGCGGCAAACTCTTCCTCCTCCTGCTCCTCCTGGTCGTCGTTGTTGCTTGCCACGGCTCGGGACCTGTTCGGCAGATCGGTGTTGACGCCGGCCAGCCACAGCTCATAGGTGAGGTGCTTCAGGTGGTCGGCGGTGAGCGCGCGGACGTAGACCTGTCCCTCCTCGGTGACCAGCAGCTCGCGACGACTGCTGGTCAGCATGGCCGCCACCTCGTGCGTCAGCTCGAATTCGGCGCTGATGTTGCTCAGGGAGTCGTCGTCGTCCTCCTCGCTTCGGTTGTTGTTGTTGTTGATGCTCGAAGTGGCCCTCAGCTTGGCCAGCGAGTACGCCTCCAGCGGGTGGGCCGTCTCCCGGTGGAGCATGTACCGCTTGGTAGTGCGCAGGCGGTCCTCCAGCTCCAGGTGCCCGTGGAAGGTGGCACACCAGTCGAGGCAGCGGGAGGAGGCGGCGGCGGCGGCGTCCTCGGACAGCAGCAGGTCGTTCCTCGAGTGCAGTGCCACCGTGCCAATGTCCGCCTCGAAGCTGAAGACCTCATTGAAGGCGAGGCCGGCGGTGGGGAGGAAGCAGCGGCAGGCGACGTCGGCTCGGTGGAGAAAGTGCATCGCCTCCTCCGCCGACAGCAGCACCCGACCCGAGGAGGTGACGTAGTAGACGGAGTAGGCCTTCTTTATCTTTCTTGACGGCTGCTGCTGCTGCTGCTGCTGATCCTTCTTCGGTCGGCCCCTGCCTCTGCCGAGTACTTTCTTCTGCTGCTGCTGCGACGACCCCTTCTTGAGGTCGAGGCCGTCGTCTGCGTGGCTGTAGAAGACTCGCGACCATCCGGGGGGCAGGATGACGTAGCGGGTCGTCGCGAGGATGGTCTGCGCCCTCGCCGACATGGCCGGCGGCGCCGTCGGCGATGATACCTCCTCGATGATGCCCGACAGTTCGGGCATTTCCCTCTCGGAGACGATCAGATGCGCCGGAATACTTGTCGTTGTTGTTGTTGGGGTTGGGGTTGGGGTTGGGGTTGCTGCTGCTGCTTCGCCAGCAGAGTTCTCTTCGATCCTTGAGACGAACGGTGGCGATCCAGAGCTTAGGGTGGTGAAAGGAAATGCCATGGCTGCTCCGGCCGTCGACGTACTTGCGGCGGTGGTGGTGGTGGTAGTGGTGGTCATCCAATCGAGTGATCACAAGTAGAACCGTGAAGGAGCAAGTGAAAACTGCAAATGAGAGGCTGCCGCTCGGTCGCTGCTTCTTGATAGCATCTTCACTCGAGCAGCGCTGCACACTGCGGCAGCATGGCAGCTGTCAGCTGTGGGCGGAGGAAGCGGGCTGGTGGAAATAGCCGACCCTAGTTGATATGGCCGATGATTGCAATAGCCGATGACTAGGCAAAGAGTGCCGCCATTTGGAAATGACTCCACACAACAAAGCCAGTTCTTCAGACTCAAATCGGGAGAGAATGCCTCTTCCCAATGGCTTTAATCACAAAGACAACTACGAGAGAGAAGGTGACTCAAGAAGGTGTGTGTGTGTGGGTGTGTGTTTGGCAAAGAATAAAATACAAGGTGGTACTGTGTGAGAGACTAAAGTGGTGATATTATTACTCAAGAATAGGAATAGGAATTGAAGTGAGTGAATGAGTGGGTGAACAAGTGTTGTGATCTACTTCTGTGAACTCTAGCTTCCTCCGCCTTCTTAGGAGAAGTCTCGCCACTGGCCGAGGAGGATGGGCGCCACCAGGGTCCAGAGGTAGAGGAAGGCGCAGATCCAGCTGGAGCTCATCTTGATCCACAGCGAGCTGCTGCTCTGCCCGAAGGTCTGCTGCGACTCGGTCGGACTGCAGAAAAAGATTGGTTAGAAGTGAGCCCTGCTTGATAGATCCTGATAAGATCCTCCCCTGCACTGAGCTTACCTGTACCAGTTGGTGAGCGTCATCATGAGGTAGAGCGTGCCCAGGGCAAAGATGAAGTAGAAGTAGCTCCAGTTGGAGGTGTCCTCGTCGTCGTCGCCGTCAGCACCGCCGCCGCCACCTAAAAGGGGAGTGTCCACTACGGCGTTAGTTCTAGCTGAGCAGCTCAAGGTGTACCCACTAATTTCCCCTCCCCCTGTACACTAGAGACTATACACTAAAAGTAAACCCCAAAAGTAAGAAGTCATACTAACCAGTGAGTTGAGTGTTCGAGGTGACTAGGAGATTGAAAAAGAGAGAAGGGCGGAGGGGAGAATAAAGCAGACAAGGCAGCCGATTAGTTGAGCTATGGAAAACACCCAAGTTGACTAACTGATCCCTGACTAGTGTCCCCACCAGTGAGAATGACCCTCCCTCTTCTGCCTAACTTACCGCTGGCGTCGTCATTGCCGAGACTGCTGACGCCGGTGATCTTCTCAAATTGACTCTTCGAGCTGAGTCGGATGGAGGAGTAGAGGACGGCGGCGAAGCAGATGACCAGCGAGAGGAAGGACTGCGTGTCCAGGGAGGTGCTGCGGTGGGCGAGGAAGGCGGGCTTGCAGGCGGTCTCCGGGGAGCTGTTCAGCGCCGACCAGGTGAGGTAGCAGAGGTAGAGGGAGACGACGGAGGCCTGCAGCAGCCCCGACCGCGGCTGGCTCTCCTGCACCTTCGGGATGATGCTGACGACGCTCAGGGCGACGCAGACCACCAGGTTGGCGCTGATGAAGAACTTGTGCAGGCCGCAGCCGCTGGCGCCGGTGCTGTAGTAGACGTAGAAAAGGATGAAGCCGGTGAGGGCGAGGCAGAAGTTGAGGAGGGTGCAGCAGATGAGGCTGTAGTAGTAGCTGTTGCTGTCCTCCTCCTCCATCCGGCCCACCCAGTCGTTCGCCCAGTCGTCCGCGAACATGATGATCAGCATGAACTGAATCAGCAGAAAGAGGAAGGAGCCGCTCAGGCCGAAGATCTTCCAGGCTGAAAAGGGGAGCAGGAAAAGGGGTTAGTTTGTCTGCAAAAGTTCAATGTTGTGCACTCTTACTGGTGAAGAATCCATCTGACTGAGGAATGAAGAAGGCGCCCACAATCAAGCCCAGCAGCAGGAGGAACTTGATGCCAAAGAGTCTGTGAGAGGAGAGGGTGGTGTTATTAGTAAGCAAAATATCACTAAGAATCCCGGTTTGAAACTTGCGACTTACCCTCGATGGAGTGGCACCCTCGGATCGCGCGTGCTCTTCACCTTGATCATCAACACGCCGAGGACGGCGAAGAAGACGNCAAGCGAAACATATCACTAGGAATCCCGGTTTGAAACTTGCGACTTACCCTCGATGGAGTGGCACCCTCGGATCGCGCGTGCTCTTCACCTTGATCATCAACACGCCGAGGACGGCGAAGAAGACGGTGGTGGCGAACATCAGTCGGTAGACGGCCGTGTAGCCGGTGAACTCGTCGCAGACCGTACCGGCGGTTCCATTGGCGGCCATTGCCGTCACCGTAGTGGTGGTGGCGTTCTTCGCCGCACCGCCGAAGATGTTGCTGATCTCATTGCCGACCTTGTTGACGCCGTCCTGGAGGGCACTGGACGCCCGCTCCTGAAGCGTCGGAATCTTGGGTTGGTTCCAGCACCAGGGCACCCAGTTCTTGAGCCAGTTGGAGACGTTGGCGAGGCCCATGATCCAGCCGGCGATGGTCACCAGGAAGAGCATCACCGAGTACATCACCCGCGGGGCATTGCTGACGCCGCAGCAGCTGAAGATGCCGCAGACGGTCGATCCGGCGCAGCAGGCCAGCTGAAGGAGGAAGAGAGAGAGTCCATTAGATTGTCATCATTATCATCACTAGCAGCTTCGAGCTTACCTGGCCGAGACCACAAACGCTGAGCAGACAGCCCATGGTACAGTTCAGAGAACTTCAGGAGTTTTACAAAGTAAAGTGAAGGTGAGCAGACGGCGCAAAGTAAATAGCAGCTGGCGAGTGAGTCAATATGCAGAGGTGATCACGGGAGATTACACAGCGAAGCCACAGCAGCAGCAACAGCAGTCGTCGAGGTAATGCCTCCGATGGTGGTAATGAGGAGAGGTGATATAAACGGAGAGATAAGCAGTGAGTGAGTCAGCTACCAACACAGTGGCAACAATGACAAGCAGACTCTGGTCTGCGTTGCGTTGTACAGTGGTGTACGACAGACAAAGAGGCAGAGGCCAGACAAAGCGAAGCGAAGTGAAGTGCCCAGAAACGTCGCACTTTCTGGTGAGAAGAGCTCGAGTACAGCGCAAATCAAAACAACCATCGAATCGAGCTCAATCCATCGGCGCATCGATTGTATCGATTGTTTTTCTCGACAGACACAATCCCGAAAGGACGCCTGTCCGAATGGTAAGCTCAATAGCTTCAAAAAGAAGATAGAAGTCCTGCTCATCAAGAAGTGGTCACTTGAGATAGGCCACTTGCTTTATTGATCAACAACAATTACCACCGCATCATCATCAAAAAAAAGAAAAGTAACAACAAAAAGGTATTAAAACATGTCATTCATAATGTGGGCGACGCCGTTGTTGCAGCTAATGTCCGAGTAGCCGACGTGGGCGCGGTTCACGTAGAACGATTCTGAAAGGAAAGATGAGGCTCAGTTAGAAGAAAGAAGTTGATATAGCTGATGAAAAGTTGACTTACGAGAAGTTCGCTTGATGCGCAGCGGATCCTCCGCCGCCGAGGGTAGCTCACAGGAGCGTCCGCGGAAGGAGGGGTCCAGCTCCTGTTCGGGGGTGATGGGAATGGAGTTGCTGTACACCGAGCGGTCCTTGATCAGGTGTCGATTGACGAAGGCTGAAAAACACAAAGGGAAGAAAGAAGTTATTGGCTGAAAAATGATCATCAAATGATAAGTTTACCTCGACACGCACTGGGATCCCTGACCAGCGAGCTCAACTGCCGCTGACTGTACCGCTTGGCCAGCGCCTGGTCACTAGGCATGAACATCGTCTGCGGACGCCCCCCGTTCCCTTGGCCCTGCATCAGTCCGGCCAGTCCTGACTGGTCGACAATCTCCCGACAGAGCTTCAGATTGGGACTGCGCTTCAGCACCGAGTACAGGTCAGGCTGCGGCGGGAAGAGGACCGAGCCGAGGCTGACCAGGCGCAGCGGGCCCACCTGATGGGAGTCGATCATCGGACAGCCGCTGACCATGGGCACGTACTGGCCGGTGGAGGGACTGCGGAGGAGGGAGCGGTCGAAGCGAAGGGGCTGCTGGGAGAGCGAGGGCACTGGAGGAGGAGGAGGGGAAGCAGGGGAAGGCTTGGGAGTGCTGGGGTAGATTTGGTTGAAGGGAGCGGGCACGGTGTGCAGCTGCATCAGCTTGCGCTGCTTCTGCGGACTGGAGTTCATGCTTTGCAGCATGTTGAAGGGCAGCTTGGAGGAGGCACTGCAAAGGGAGGGAAAGATTAGATTAAAATGGGATAAAACAGACCACCACCATTACCTGTCAACGGGGAGGAAGACGGTGCAGTTGCGGCCCTTGAATCGCTTCAGCAGCTCATCGAGGACGCCCGAGTTGAGCAGCCAGTCGGTGAAGCGGGCGCAGTTGAGCTTCTTCGCCGATTGCTGCACGGCCGAGCGGAGCTGATCTCGGGTCGGCTTGCTGGGCAGGGGCACCTGCTGGCTGGGCTCAAAGGGCGGCATGTACGGCTCGCTGTCCGACTCGGGCTTCTGCTCGATGCGCTCCGGTTCGGGCTCCGATTCAGGTTGTTGCTCACAGGGAGGATTGGGACAGGATTCAGAAGGAGGTGATGGTGGTGGTGATGGAGGCTGTTCACAGGGAGGATTAGGGCACGATTCAGGATTGGATGGCGGTACCTGCTGCTCCTGATCATCAGAGGGGCTTTCCGGGGGCTCCTCCTCAGAAGGTACTGATGTAGGTGGTGGAGGTGGCTTCTGCTTGGGCTTCTTTGGCTTTTGTTGAGGCTTCTTTGAGGGTTTTGGAGGAGGAGGTGGTGGTGGTGGTTCCTCTTCTTCAGAAGGACTTTCCGGGGGCTCCTCCTCAGGTAATGATGGTGGAGGTGGTGGTGGTGGCTTCTGCTTAGGCTTCTTTGGCTTTTTAGGCGTTTTTGGTGGTGGTGGCTGATCCTCAGTCGGCTCCTCGGGAGTTTCCTCTGGCGGAGGAGTTTCAGGCTCATCCTCGGGTGGCGGTGGTGGAGGAGTAGGCTTTTTCGGTTTGGGTTTAGGTGCTTTGGGTTGTTTTGCTGGCTTTGCAGGCGGCGGCGGCGGAGGTGATGGGGATTCCTCGTCCTCCGGCGGAGTTTCAGGTTCCTCCTCGGGCGGTGGTGGTGTTGGCTTCTGCTTCGGCTTCTTTGGCTTTTTAGGTGGTGGTGGAGGTGGTGGTGGCTGATCCTCAAACTGTGGTTCTTCTTCAGGCGTCTCCTCGAGTGCTGGAGTTGCTGGCCTTTGCTTTGGCTTTTTGGGTTTGGGAGATTTGGGCGGTGAAGGTGGTGGCTGCTCTTCGGGCGTCTCCTCAGGTGGACTGTCCTCTGGTGCGGGTGTTGGTTGGTCACAAGGGGGACTCACACAGGAGTCAGAGGGAGGCGATTCAGGAGGTGGCTGATCATTGGGCTGCTCCTCGGACGGAGTTTCCTCTGGCTCTGGTGTTGGCTTTTGTTTGGGCTTTTTTGGTTTGGGAGATTTAGGTGGAGGTGGTTGCTCTTCAGGCGTCTCCTCAGGAGGACTGTCCTCTGGCTCCTCCGATGCTGGAGTTGGCTTTTGTTTGGGTTTCTTTGGTTTGGGAGATGGTTGTGGAGGAGGTGGCTGCTCTTCGGGTGGAGTTTCCTCGGGAGTTGGAGTTTCTGGTTCCTCCTCAAGTGCTGGTGGTGTTGGTTTCTGTTTGGGCTTTTTTGGTTTGGGAGTTTTTGGCGGCGGTGGCTGCTCCTCTGGTTGAGGCTCTTCGGGAGTTGGAGTTTCTGGTTCTTCCTCAGAAGTCTCCTCGGGTGATAAAGTTGGTTTTGGTGATTTAGGGGGTGGTTGTGGTGGTTGATCCTCCTCTGAAGGTGGCTCTTCAGAAGGTGCCTCAGTACTGTCCGATTGAGGGGGCTCCTCTGGCGTCTCCTCGGCAGACGGTGATGGAGTTGGCTTCTGCTTGGGCTTTTTCGCTTTGGGAGACTTTGGCTGAGGTTGCTCTTCCTCAGGAGGTGGTGGTGGTGGCGGTGTTTCATCCTCTGATGGGGGCTCTTCAGAAGCTGGAGTTTCCTCCGGCGGAGTTTCCGCTTCCTCAGGCGGAGGGGTTGGCTTTTGCTTGGGCTTCTTTGGTTTGGGAGTTTTTGGGGGTGATGGTGGTGGTGGTTCCTCAGGCTGAGGCTGCTCCTCATCAGGTGTCTCCTCGGGTGCGGGAGTTTCCGGCTCATCTGGCGATGGTGTCGGCTGTTGCTTTGGCTTCTTTGGTGATTTGAGCTTCGGTTCCTCGGGCTGTTCCTCCTCAGGTGGCGGTTGATCTGCTGGCTCTTCCGGCGGAGAGGCCTCAGTCTGGTCCTCCTCCTTTGATGGCTCCTCTTCAGCAGGCTTATCCTCAGGGGGAGAATCGGAGCTTTCCTCGGGTGCTGGTGGGGTCGGCTTCTGTTTAGGCTTTTTGGGCTTTGAAGGAGGCGGTGGCGGAGGTGGTTCCGGCTGATCCTCCTCAGGAGGTGCCTCAGTCTCCTTCTCCTCGGGCGTCTCCTCAGCTGGTGGAGTTTCCGGTGTTTCCTCCTCTGCAGGCGGTGCTAGAGTCGGCTTCGGTTTGGGCTTTTTTTGTTTAGGAGATTTCGGTTGAGGTGCTTCCTCCTCAGGTGGTGGCGGCGGTTCATCAGTCTGTGGTGGCTCATCGGTATTCGACTCTGGCTCCTTCGGCTCATCAGCCTTTGGTTCCTCCTCTTCGGCAGGCGGTGTCTCTTCAATGGGAGTGTCCTCCTCCTGAGGTGGCTCCTCCTCAGCTGGGGCTGACTTCGGAGGCTTAGGCTTCGGTGGTTTCTTATTCACTGGTGGCGGCTGCTGCTCTTTGGGCGACTCCTCGGGTGCACTTTCCTCGGGTGACTCCTCAGAAGGCGGTGGTGGGGCTGCAGTTGGCTTCGGCTTGGGCTTGGGCTTCGATTTAGGCTTTTGTTTTGGCTTTTGTTTTGGCTTTGGTGGTGGTGGTGGCTGATCCTCTTCAGGTGGTGTATCCTCCTCCTCAGGACTGGGACTGGTCGTCGACGGTTTGGGCAGGGCATCTCTGAGGTTCTGCAGGAGTGGCTTNGGGTTTTGGTGGTGGCGGCGGCTGATCCTCTTCAGGTGGTGCATTCTCCTCCTCCGGACTGGGACTGGTCGTCGACGGTTTGGGCAGGGCATCTCTGAGGTTCTGCAGGAGTGGCTTCAGCAGGTCCCTAGGAATGACATCATTCGACTCTGGTGACGGAAGTTGGGGCTGTCTAAGGGGACGCAACCTGATGCTTTGGGGAGAGGAGAGCTGGCCAGGTTGGCTCGGGTCCAGTTGAAGGGTAATGCTGATGGGCTTGCCGGAACTAGAAGTCATTGTAAGGGTTATAAAACTGATCAATCTGATTACTCTTCTTTAAAGCACTTACTTGAGCAGCTGCGGAAGGTACTCTGCGTCGTCCACCGCCAGATTGGGTATGATGAAGACCATTCCCCGAACGGTGGGCACCTTCCTCTTGGGCATGATGCGCCCGTTGAGGACGATACTGTTCCGGCCCTCGAAGCAGCTCATCGGTCGACCGTTGCCGTTCAGGTAGGGCCGACCGGTGCAGCCACCTGCTGTTCCTGGAACCAGGTGGTCAGAGATGAAGCCTATGATTAAGGAGAGAAGTGTTTTTAGAAGGACTAAATCAAGTAGAAACTTAACTTACGCTTGATAATCTCCGGATCGGGATTGCCGCCGCTGCCTAGGCCCAGCGTGCCCATCACCTCATTACTTGGACAGAAGAAGGTGGAGCGTTCTAAAAGGACAAAAAGTTAAGAAATTAAGGTTTGAAAAATCACTCTTCCCCTCCTTAGCTTACCATTAAGAACACTTCTCATGTTGGCCGAGTTGAGAATGGCCATCATGGCGGCCATTGCCGGCTGGAGGTCGCACAGCGAGGCAGAGTCGAGGGGACGACTGTTCAGGCGGTCAATGACGTGCACCAGAGGGCCGCCGCTGATGACGATGTTCGCGCGAAGCACCTGAGGAGAGGAGTTCCCTGAAGATGAGGGAGGTTTATTCGAGCCAGAAGATGGTTGCGGGTAGACGGGCACTCGCTGGCCGATGACCACGTGATTCCGCAGAAAGTTCGCCTTCGACTCCTCATCATCGGGCTCCTTCTCCTGGGCGAAGGCCTCGTCGTTCGGGGCGAAGATGGTCAGGTTCTCGCCTGATGAAAAAGTGAAAGTGGTGTTAGCATGTGTGTTACTGATTGGACTGTGCACAAACCGTATTTGTTGATGAGCTCCTTCGCCTGCGGACTGTCGAGCGCCTGCTTCGTCTTGGAGAGGTCCTCCTCCTGGTCCAGTTGCTCGTTGAGAAAGTCAAAGGCGGAGCCCGTTTTGGGCTCCTCCTGATTCGAGTTTGGGTCTTTCGATTTTTCCTCCTCGGGCACGTTTGAGTCGGCTGGCTCCATGTCCTCGGGAGAGTGCGGTTTGTCGTCTATGAAGAAGGAGAGAGAGAAAGTGTGTTTTAGCAAATGTTTCTGAGAAAACAATTGATGGCAACAATCGAAGAAGTAAAGGTAATGGTCTGGTTACTTGGTGATAGTGTCATGGGCGATGGCGCCATGAGCTTCCAAATGCGCACCGACTGAGCTGCCGGCACAAGGATGGCCGGCGAGTGGCGAGGTGCTGATTGAAAGGGATTGGGGAAGCCGCTTCCAAAGGGATTCGAGGAGAAGGATGAGGTGGTACTGCCAAAACCTTCAGGACCGAGGAAGGGATTCCCCCCAAAGGCGATAGCGGGAGGAGGGAGGCCAAAGGGTGAAGGGCCGCCGCCAGCATTTCCGCGATAACGGACACGAACTTGTTGGGTGTGCGTGTGTGCGATTAGTACATTGGGGTTAGTTTGGTTAGGTTAGGGGAATATTGAACAGATGGAATGCCTAAACACGTGATTTATGTGAAGCACTTACTGAGAATGACGCCATCAGTTGGGTTGGGGGAGTTCTTCGGTGAAGAAGGAGGTGGGGCAGCAGGGCCCGAGTCCTCGACGAACTCCTCCTTTTGGCAGTAGGCCAAAGAGAGGAGTAGGCCGAGTAGCGCGATCACGATGATAAACTTCATTCTTGCTGGGCTTTAGTGTACCATTGTGGAAGTGATGGTGGTGATGGTAGGGTCAAATTCAAATGAAAAGAAAAGATCAATTTCGCCTAATCGTTCTCGGTAGTAAAGATGATGTTTCCACCACCGAAGATGATGAGAAACTGAGCTGAGCTGAGTAAAAGTGTACTTTCCACGAAAAAGATGTGTGCACAACATTGGCCAGATCGGCGAGATTGGCTTGTTGTGGTGGCTTTATACAAAGCATCCATCATCACCAACACTACCACCCTGGACAGGTAATTGAGCAAGGCAGAGGGTGCAATTGTCCACTACAACTACTACTGAGAAGATGCTGTCACTTTCCAGCTCTCTGACGAGGTAATTGTACAGCAAAGTGGCCACTGCAGCCGCAGCTCATCAGCGAAGAGCAGCAGAGTTGACCTTGAGCAAAGGCAGAAAGAGTGAGAGAAAGCGAAGTGAACAACTGACCAAGCACTGTTGATACTGTTGTCTTCCTCGTCCATTCTCCAATCCATTCATCCATCTTCTAATCGGCTTGACGTCAGGACATATCAAGAAGAAGAAGAGGCACACTTTGGCTAATCGGCGGCTGAAAACAACAAAAACTGGACAGGGCGAGTGGTAGTCTTGCATCGGCAGTCGGTCAGTCTGTGCAATCGTCGCTTCTTCGCCGAAGCAGGTTGAGTACTGGTCACTTGAGGAGATGATGATGATGATGATGATACTGTGGCCACTTTGAGCAGAATATCGACCAGCAGATATTTCCGCTGAGATCTGAAAGAAAGAAGCTGTCAAGAAGATTGTTGAGCATTCACTCTCCCTTTCTCACCTGTCAGTCTTGATCAGAGTCACTGGTTTATGGAGATTAGGGAAAGTACCAGTGTGTTCATCGGCGGAAAGTGTAACTGGGTTTTCTCAACTTCTTCGGTAGATTGGAAATCCATTCACTTCGTAGGGCTGCCATTTTGGCGGGAAAGCAAGAGTTTTCGTGAACTGCTCGCAGAGTACGTGACGCGGATTTAGCGCCACCAGTCGCACTTGGCGACTTTGTGAACTACAGCTTCTGTGAAAATTCCGGCAGATGGCGACATGAACGCCCACGTTGTACTGTCTTTTTTGAACGGCCACAGAAAGTTCAGTTTTTCTGGCCAGCCTGACAAGCCTAGCCATGCCTTCTCTGTTTGCTTTGTTTGCCAAGTTCTACAGCAAGTTCTACCGAAAACTGACGATCGATCAATGCTAGTTAAATCATTGGATAATCTGCTTTCACGGCTCCCAAATAGACTCAGATTTCAGCGCCAGCGCTACGACCATCACCACTACCACCAACAACACCTCAATGACAGTCGAATTCAATGGCAAATCAATAAAGCATCATCATCGTCATCAGCAAGTGTAGTAGCAGTTCGACCAAATCGCCGTCGCTAATTAGGCTGAACTCGCCTTAGCTGACATTTTTCGAAGCCATTAAATGGAACCAGTTGTTTGGCAATGCTGATGGCAACTGCACACCTGAGGTGAGACTGGCAATCATGGATCGTGGCGATGATGATCATCATCGCGGCGGTGATCGACAACGGCAGCTCTGGCTCAAGTCATCAGCGTCCTCTCCTCTTCTCCTTCTCCTCCTTCTCTTCCACTTCCCTGCTCTCTTATCAGCCCTACCACTGTTGTTGTCCGTGGTAATGCCGCCTTATCAGCATCTCAGCCGTATTACCACCATCGCCCTTATCTGAATAGCAAACAGGATAAGTGTGCACTCTCTCTCCCTCTGTTGTGTGTCTGTGTTTTCACCGTTCAGCTGCAATCTGCCCACTGAGACAACACACTGCCCTGGCCCAGTATGCGTCAGCAGCATCAGTAGACGATCAATGGCTTCAAGAGTGATTCTCCCCGGTCAAAAACATCAGCAGCAGTAGTGTTCCAAGTTCCCAGAAGAATACACACACAGTCCATTGTTGTGCTGCTCATCATCTCAAATATTGTTCTTGTTCTTTAGTTGTGTTGTTGTTGATCACCCTCTTAATTCATCATGTCCATAGTTGGTGGACAAACCTCCTCCTCCACTCCGCCCACCACCCCTGGAGCAGTGTCCTTCGCCACCGATGATCAGGTGCAGTTTAGGACACAGGGGAAGAAGGGCGGAGTGCCCAATCCACTTCAGCCACCACCGCCGCCACCTTCGCAAGCCTCGTCGATGACCTCCGCTGGAGCAGGACCATCTTCCTCCACATGTAAGTCTGTTTGTGTTTATTCTCAGCAAGTTTAATGACGTCCTTCCCAATCAGACAGAGCACAGCCGCCCCCTCAGCTGGCCAAGTCCATCAGCCAGTACGAGACGCAGCACTCCACCGGCGGCGGCGGAGGCGGCGGCAATGCCTCCTCATTCGCCAACGCCCTCTACGAAGGCGAGGAGGACGAGGACGCCGTGGACGGCTGCCTGACGCCCGACCCCGAGGACGAGGACAATCGCCCTCGCTTTCGGCGCGGCTGGGCCGCCTCCTCTACCTCGGGCGGCGGCCGTGGGCAGCCCGTCTTCAACCGAGGCTCCACCCGCTCCAGCGAGTCAGTGCTCTCCAAGTACCGGAACGCCCTCACCAGTCGCACCTCCTCCCATCGGTCGAAAAGTGAGCAGTACCTGGCGGAGCACCCGAACCGACCCTCGGGGGCGCGGTGGCGTCAGCAGACGCTGCCCGCCTGGCAGCCCATCTACCGCCCGCTGAACGTCATCGCCACCTTCCTCGGCTTCGGCCTCCTCCTCACCGCCCTGGGCGTGCTCATGCTGCTCAGCTCACTTCGGACGGCCGAGGTAGTGGTCGACTACACGGACTGCACCTCGCTGCAGTTCGCCCCGCGCACGTGCGCCCAGGTGCTGGAGGAGGCGTTGCACGCGCCCGCCCTGCCGCAGTGCACCTGCTCCGTGCCGGTGACGGTGCCGGCGGACATGGCCACGCCCGTGTACCTCTACTACAGCCTGGACGGCTTCTACCAGAACCACCGGCGGTACGTCAAGTCGGTGGACGACAGCCAGCTGGCGGGGAAGGAGGTGGCGAGGGCTAAGCTGATTGACAACTGCAAGCCCTTTGCCACGCTGGACGGCGACGAGAATGGGCCAGTCTACGCCCCTTGTGGGGCGATTGCGAACAGCCTCTTCAGCGACGCCTTCACCCTCCGCCACGGCTCCTCCGCCATTCGCCTCCACCAAGCGAACATCAGCTGGAGCAGCGACCGGAGGAGCAAGTTCCACAACCCTGGAAGCTGGGAGGGGACCATTCACCCACGGAATTGGACTGTGAATGCGTCGCAGCTGGGCCCACCGAAGGCGGGCACCGGCTACGAGAATGAGCACCTCATTGTGTGGATGCGGACGGCGGCCTTTCCCAGCTTCCGCAAGCTGTGGGCGCGCATCGACCCGGGCTCGCTCTGGTCGCGGACGGACGTGCTCAAGGCGGGCGAGTACCTCATTGATGTGGAATACAGTCAGTACAGCCGAACTTGGAAAGTTTCATACCGTCGAATCATCAAAACCTCTTTTTTCCCTTAGATTACCGGACTGTGATTGGTAAGCTGCGCATCCCCAAGACGCTGATCATCTCCAACACCAGCTGGATGGGCGGGCGAAATCTCTTCATGCCCATTCTCTACATTGTCGTCGGCGGCCTCTCCATCATTACTGGGGTCGTCTTTCTGGTCATTGTCTGGCGGACGAAGAGGAGAGGGACGGGCGCCTTTCAGAGGATCAGGTAAGTGGGATGTAATCTCAGTATTTTTGGGTATTTTTATGACTGTTGATGTTGATGGAGTAGACCCGGCGTGGGTGCTCAGCCCAACTACCAGACCATGTCCCCTCCGTCTTCCTCTTCTGCCAATGGTGGTCAGAAGAATGAGGCGGCCTTTGGCAGCACCAGCCCACTGGCGCGGTCGCCGGCCAGCGATGACGATGACTAAAGACCCACCGACCGCTACTACAATATTTTTCGCCTTCCATTCGCAGTGTCTCCCTTTGCCTTGCCTTCCCTTTGCTTTCTCTAATGTTCCCTCAGCGCCT